TCTTTCCCTCCTTGCCTGATTTCTCACACCTGGGGATTGAAAGCTCATGTGCTCTATGGAAAGCATCCTTAAAGGTCTGCCAGCTCTGCTCTGCTCCCTTGTCCTGAAGGCCACTTCCCAGAGGGTCCTGTTGACTAATTCCTTGAAGAGCTGGAATTTTGGTTTCCTAAATCTTAAGGTCCTGAATACGCTTTTCATCTGCGTAATGCCCCTTAGGACAGTGAACTGCACTAGTGCGTGATCACTGCAGCCCAGACTGCCTGCAAATCTTGACAACCCTGATGAGTTCACTTGCAATTGTGACCATCAGGTCCAATATCACATCCAATATTTCAAGTACTATCACCATGTCAGAGATTGCTAAGATTATTTTCAAATAGTGCCACTGTAAGTGGGCAACTTGAGGAAATAAAATTTAATGGTGTCTCTTCCTGTTTTTCAAGGTGCCAGGTTCATTATGCTGCTCTGTTTTAGAATATTACCTAACTAAAATGCATCATTTTATACTTTTTCCTGCTTATGTTAAAAGATTATGACAACAGCTTCCCCATTCAATTAATACTAAAATGCAACATTAAAAAACATAGCTATCACAATGCTGTGGATTCAGTGGGTTGCATTAGAGCATTGTTAAATTAATTTTCAGCTAGAGTCTTATTCCCATATCAGCTTGTATTACAGGATGTATACTTCCTTGACAGAGCTATCATGCAGAGCTATATTTGATTGTCACAGAATAAAGGAACTGTATTAGAAACAAAACAAAACCTGGAGAAAAGGCAGCTTCCATACATTTGATAATGTAACATTCTTAATTGGTTATCATAGTCATTTCATGTAATCAAAGACACCAAGTAAATTAGAAAATTGTATTCCAAGCCACACAAGCTTTGGAGAATTTAAGGGTAGTAAAGATGCTATTTTGATATCCTGCAATGGGTCTTGCTAACAAGCTAATATATTCAGCTGAATAAATTTAAATGTCAAAGGACAGGAAGATTGAAACAAGTAAATTCCAGGTGTTCGAAGTAGCTAATACAAAACTAACAGGAATCCACTCTCATGTTATTATGGCTTTACCAAGTTTGAAATTCATGCTAGCAAACTAAATGAGAGATGAAAGTAAAATTTTACTGAAAAAAAAAAAAAAAGTTAAACATTAAAAAAAGCGTTACTGAAAACATCTGAAAGAGCATGAAGACTCTTTCTCCTCCAGTCTCAACTTTTGCCTTTCTTGACCTCTTTTTCTTCTTAGCAAGCTTTAGCAGAAATCTTAACTTTTTCACAGGTTAGCGGTTTCTGCTTTTAAAACTCTTATGACTCTATTTAACAGAAAATTGTAACCATGCAGTTTAGGTGAATTTCTTTTGTGGTAATTATGTTAAATATGCCTCTTTGTCTTCAAATTCCTGGTTGTGCTTTGACTAATTCTTTCTAGAAACAAAAAATCATAGCCTGTATCAGGCATATTCACTGTGCTCTCTTGTCATAGATCCTCCTTGAAAGCCATATTTGTCCTTCAATTCACAGATCCTCTGGGGCAGCACCTGCCTCAGGGCAGCAAGTTTGGGTAATGCTTTGCACAGTGGGCACCAAAGAAGAGCCAAGGGGCCTACTGGAATTCAAAAGATCATATATATGTTAATTCACACATCATTAAGAAAAATAATGATGATAATAATAACAAAAGAACAACTGAAAGCAACGTGAGCTTTATCGTTTAAACTTCATCCTCTCTTCAAGATGTTTATGCACAAGAGATATTTGGCCACCAGGGCAGCAGAAATTTTATGTCTTCAGCATGCAGTAATTGTTTGAAAGCAAAATGACAAAGGGAGCTCAGCAAAGTAAAAATCACCTCCTTTTAAATATCCTTATAAATTCACATCCTTATAAATATAAGCTTTCATCACAGCTTTAGCAGAATAGCTGTTTAGTCTAATATGCATCCAGGATTCCCCAGAACCTTTGAAAATATTGTTGTGTTCTATGACAATGGTAAAATTTGTTGCTTATAACTGAAATGTGACCTTTTGCATTGCACAAATAAAAGAGTAAGAAACACACCTACTCTGCTGACTGATGAGAATGATCACAGAGAAGAATCTTCTGTGCAAGAGACCCCTAGAAGTAATCTCAGTATCTTCATGAACTAGTGCTGAAAGGGCTGAACTCTGAAATAATGAAGGAAAGAATTATGAAAATTAAACAAAATTAAAAAAGAAAAGAGGGTGTTAGAGGCCTCTACCAAACAAGCTTCACCACTGAGTTTTTCTTGACATAAATGTTATCTTGTACACAATTTCCATCCAGGAGTAAAATGGTGATTGGTTGATTTGAAGAGGGCAGGAGAGGAAACATGCGTGATCTGTTTCTAGTCCCCATTTATACTGTTTCCTTTTATCCACTTTGTCACAAGGGGTTAAAGTAATATAAGCCCCTATTGTACTGCCACCATAAACTCCTTTTCCAGCCAAAGTTCATGCACTTTGCTATACCTTGGAGTCAAACTGCAATATGCTTGACATATGTTGAATTTGTTGTTAAGCTTGGGCAAGTGGATGGGCAGAGATTGGCTTCATACCGTAAACAATCTGCCATCTGTGTTTCTCAAACTACAAATGTAAGCATCTTTACTGAACTGATCAAAATGAACTGAACACAGCATCGAATTTCAGTTATATTTTGTTGTTGCTTTTTAACTTCCTTTAGTAATTTAGGCAAACAGCATGGCCAATCTACCAAACCTAGTGAAGTACAGAAGATCTTGCCGGCTAGATCAAGCCCTCAGTTATTTTTGCAGAATCAAGCTCAGCAATTTTTATTTTGATGAACCATTTGCAGTTGCCAAGAGTACCAGGAAGAGTACAAAACACACTTTTTTAAAATAGATTCTTTTTCTTATTTTACTAAAGAAAACCAGGGTATCAGTCCCTCTACAGGTGATTCTCCTATGTTAAAATTTCTGATTACTGGTCTATTTGAGAAAAGTTTTGAGAAGTTAGTGACACAAATCTTTGCAGAGCTTTCCAGCTGTTCCACTTAAACTTGTGCAATTGAACAAAGCTGGAACATTGCTAAGTTTCAGTCAATGAGTTAGAAGAACAATTATTATCAGTGTGTGCTATTTTCACCCCTGTACTATCTTTTCATTTAGATTGATAAGGAGCAGTTTCAAAAAATCCTGGAGCTAATTGAGAGTGGGAAAAAAGAAGGAGCCAAACTGGAATGTGGAGGGGGTCCATGGGGAGACAAAGGTTACTTCATCCAGCCCACAGTTTTTTCTAATGTTACAGATGATATGCGCATCGCCAAAGAAGAGGTAAATAAATCTTGGCAGTCTGTACTCTCACTGGAGATTGTCTGTTTAAACTTCTGTACAAAATATCCATTTAGAAGGTCAAGTGGCTACATAAAAACACACTCTGTAAATCTGTTGTTCCATCCTGGTGGTGTTTGCAATGCTTTTCTTAGTTTCTGATGCCTGTTTCACCAACTCAGTGGAGGTGTGGGAGAGAAGAATGAGGCTGGCCTGCCAAGAAAGGCTCCAGCTTAAGCTGTCAGTAGATAAGAAACGCTAAGGTTAGGATTGTTTGCATCACCCCATACTGCCATGCCTACAAAAATCTTATCTTTATGTGAATTTATAACCCTTTTCAGAGTCGTGGTAACCTGTAACCTGGGGTTTGGACTCAAATGCACCAAGCAGTTATTTTGCAATAAGAGAAAATAATTAGATTGTGCTTCCACAAGCATTTTGTTGAAGGCAATTACACCAAAGCAGAGTTTTGCCTCTGCAGGGTTACTTAACCTAGATCAGTTTGCAGATGTGACCACACAGCACAGCTAAGGTGGCAGTGCTAGGGCATCAGTGATCATCTGTAAGGGACGGGAGAGAGTTAGGAGTGCAGAGCTGCTATGTCATTGAGAAAAACAGTTCTGTAAACACAGCCCCAAAGTCCACTCATGATCTCTTTGTGGCTTTTTTACATGCATCTTGATTAATAACTGCTGCAATTGTGCTGCAGATGGTGTCCATTGTACTTCTTCATAACAGAAAGCTCCTTCAAAATTGTCACAAATCTAGGTATTGCTTTATATAGCCAGCGATACTGCTGATGCAGTCTGCTGAACTTACCTAGTGCATTCAGCAAGAGTCAACAGGCTGAGTTAAAATGAATATCAGAGCACCTAGGGTTAATTGTGACAGGGAGAGAGCTGTAAAGCAGGAGAGAGCTGTACAAGAAATAATTTGGATTGCTTCTGCTGGTATGGGAGGTAGATAGGACACAGAGGTATGTTTCCTGACAAATCTGTTTCTTTTGGGTCAGTAGTACAAAAACTGATTCTGTCACACTATTTTGAGTGTATTTCATTGAGTAATGAAACCTCAGAAAGCCAAGGCAGTTTAAAGAATGTTCAGGTTCTGAAACTCACAGCTTGAACAGTGGGGGAATGTTCAGTGGTTTTCTGACCTGTGTAGATCAATCCCTGCAACTCTAGTTCGAAACTAGCATTAAACACTTTCCAGGAAAATCAAATGGAAAGCTCATGATCTATGGGCATAGAAATAATTAGATGTGGTAACGTCCCCCTGCCTTATACAGCCTTGGCGCTGTGTGGTGGGCATGGGCACCTCTGGCTGAGAACACAGAGAGGCAGGAGTGAGAAAGGCAAGTCTGAAGGACTATTATCTCACATAACACCCATATGGAAAGCAGAATTAGTTGTTTCACTTGGCGTATGTGTCCAGTTGTGCAGGCAAAGGTAAAAGTCTAATAGAAAGTTTCGGGGAAGAAAAAGTTGAATGTCTTTATCAACTTTAAAACTGGAGCTTACCAAGAATATACCAGTTCATTGGTAACCAGTAAAGATATACAACACATTGTGATTCCATGTTAGCTACCTTTATAGTGAGTGTCTTCTCATCTTTATTTTTTTGTTTTCATAATTTATAATTTTATTTCTTTAGTTGTTTTTTTTATTAATCATTTTACAATACACTATCTTGATTTGCTCCATACTACAAAGGTCTTATCTTCATGTGAATTTATAATCCTTTTCAGAACTCTGTTCTGAGGTGTACAGTCTTGACAGAATGAATTCAGGAATAAGGCCTGCTGACAGAAATAAATTTTAAAAATTCAAATTACTTGCAATAATAAGTTATACTAGTCCACTTCGTATGTTTACATGTGTCTGAAACAGATATTTGGACCTGTTCAACAAATTATGAAGTTTAAAACTATAGATGAAGTTATCAAGAGGGCAAATAATACTACCTACGGCTTAGCAGCAGCAGTTTTTACCAAAGACATTGATAAAGCACTGACATTTGCAGCTGCTCTTCAGGCTGGAACAGTATGGTAAGTAATGGCTTTTTTAATTCTTAATTCAGAACTGTAGGTGCCAATGGAAATAATTGTAGGACATTTTAACACTTTTTTGAGTGGTATACTTTTATGTTTTAATTCCATGTCATTTTTAGAGATGTAGATTAATTCCATCCTCCTGTGTCTCTCTTCCCCTCACCTTTCCATACTTAACATGCTATTACATAAATACTTTGCATAAGTCTTCACACAATCGTCCGGTAAACAGTCTGAAAAAAAGAAATCGTCTTACTAAAAAGGAAAGGAGACAAAAGGAAATACAGTGAGATTGCCAATTTCCTTTCTATTCAGGATGTGGGGATAGCCCAATACCTACTTAATTTGGGGTGATTGTTCTCTGTACTGTGTAAAGAAATTAATTGTCTGAAGTTCTGTGGCCATTAACCTGGGCAGAATATCCGCCTGTAATGGAAAAGATGGATAAAATGTTGTTGAAAAAAGGAAGGAAACACAAGTGGGAGGGTACTGCTACAAGGACAATTGCCAGAGATGGAAAAGAAAGAGGCAACCTACATGGAGCTGGAAAGAAAAAGGCTGAGAGATGCAAGACTGAAAGCTTGGAGGAATAGCAGGCTCAGCCTAAAGACTATTACTGAGTGAGACCTGCATTTCC